CAACTATCAGCCGATCTGCCTACTGTCTGTCATCTACAAGCTGTTAACTCGAGTCATCCTAAATAGGATTGGCAGAACACTAGATGAAAGACAACCATGCGAGCAAGCTGGGTTCCGCAAAGGATTCAGCACCATCGACCATATCCACACGATAACCAAGCTCATTGAGGTTTCTCGGGAGTTCAAGATGTCACTCTGTCTAACGTTCATTGATTTGAAGAAGGCCTTTGATTCTGTTGAGACGGAAGTGGTCATTGAAGCCCTAGCCAATCAGGGCATTCAAGCCCAATACATCAAGATCCTCCCTGAGCTGTACTGCGGATTCACTACCAGGATCTCACCATTGTATAAAGAAGTAATCATTGATGTCAAGAGAGTGGTTCAGCAGGGTGATACCGTTTCATCGAAACTCTTCAGTACCACCCTCGAGAACATCATGCAACGACTGGAATGGGAAGGAATGGGAGTGAAGATAGATGGTCGGCAACTACACCACCTCCACTTTGCTGATGACCTTGTTTTAATTACACCAAACATCAGCCAAATAAATATAAAAAATAAAAAATAAATAAATAAAAAGAAATTACATATTGCGGAAAAAAACACTGAACCTGTAGCTAGAATGCTCATTGATTGATAACAAAAATATCATCTGAAAAACATGCATCAATGATGATTAATGATTCTCATGCTGTGCCCTGCTCGTGCCGGGAACCAGGAAATCAGGGGATCAATTTCTTCTCATTCTGCATCCTGAGACCCAGGACCCCTATAGTATGTGCCCCAGATATGGGGCAGATGAGCTGAGGTGCACAGAAGGAGGTGGAATGACAGTTTATTCCTCCTGCATCTTATTTTAGTCCTTTTGTAACCTGGTTGACCTGGATATGACACACTTTAAAGAAAAAAATCTATTTCTTTGAGAAAAAAAAGTGTTCAGATATTCAAAGTCACTGAATTCAAAGACTCTGCAAGAAGCTATATTTCTGTTACAGACATTTATCATTCAAATTTTCACAAGATATCAAATACCCAGCCTATATTCAAGAATATTGATCCTTACTGGCCCTTGCAAATTCTACTGGCCTATGAGTCAAAGCCCAAATAAGGGCTGGAGCGATAGCACAGAGGTAGGGCCTTTGCCTTGCACGCAGCCAGCATGGCCGATTCAAGTTCGATTCCTCTGCCCCTTTCGGAGAGCCCGGCAAGCTACTGAGAGTATCTCGCCCGCACGGCAGAGCCTGGCAAGCTCCCCGTGATGTATTCGATATGCCAGACACAGTAAGAACAAAGTCTCCAATGGAGACGTTACTGGGCCCGCTCGAGCAAATCGATGATCAACAGGAGGGCCTTTACTTGACTTTATATGAATCAAACACCCAGAGAATCTACTGAAAGTGATATTAACTTCCACAATTACTTTTTTCTTTCTCAGCATTTCTGTCTTTGTACTGTGACCATTTACTCTCACTTTGTAGAACTTCTCCTCTCTGTCCCTTTCTCTATAACCCAGATTTAGTTTAAAGACTGTGAGCTGTGATATGTCTCTAGCATGAGTGACCTTGACGTGGGGCCGGGAAGGATTCCCTTCTCCATGGGGCTGTCTCTGAACACACCTTCCTGAGGAAACAGGTGTGAATCAGGCTGGACTCATTTCTCAGTGCTCACACTTCCTGTCCTGGATGATGCTGAGGACACACTTCCTCAATTCACTTTGGGAATTGTGGGACTCTGAAGGCCACCAAGCCAACACAGGAGGGGCTGCAGTGGCTCTGACGACCACCAGAGGGTACTAGGGAGCTACTTCAGAAAACACCTCATACCCACCAGGGGACAAAGAGGGTCACCATGTGCTAGAAGCCCACACTGGCCAATATTCTATTACAACGCAGAGACACTCAGTCCCCAATACCCCCACCTACTCCCATTCATCATTCCCAGTTCCAGCGTCTTTCCTAGGACCTTCCCCGTCGCTCCCAGAGCAGCTCCACTCTCAGTGATACCCTCACACTCCCAACCCCCTCCCTGTGATCTGTCCTCCCTGTCCCCCACACTCACCCCACCAGGCCTCCAGGACTCCAACGCCTGGCAGGGTGAGTATTAATCGGTACTTTCCTGTTTTTTATTATTTTTATAGCTTTCTCTTTGATACTTATATTAGATGTAGAACAGCTTTTTCTCATTTTTCCTCCCTCCTTCTAGAAAACTCCTGTGACCTATTTTAAAGGTCCACTGAGAGTAATCCAAGACGCCTTTAGTCATGAGTAAAAACCCATAATATTACCCTAGAGTGGAAGGTTATTGAGAGTGAATCTCCATCATCACACCCAACACACACTTAAAAAATAGGATTCACTGAAGAGAGCATGAGGGAGGTGTGAGGCATGGGGGGAGGAATACCATGGGCCAAGGGGAAACACTGGGGTGAGGGGTTCATTCACTCTTTTGAGTGTGATTATCACTGCACAGGTTTGCCTATATACGTCAGTGCTCTGAAACATAAATATCCTATAAGTCAGTACTCTGTGTAGGGCACAGACTCAAATCTTTACAGGGAAAGGAGAGATGGGGCCAAAATTGATGTGAAGAGTCACACTCCATGGACCTCCATGTGCCCCAGTTCCAACATACTCCAGGTGAACACAAATTTAGAATAAAGACAATTTGTTCTCAATACACGGACAAAGTTCTTGACAGTTGTCTAGTCTATATTTTGTTTATATTGTTGGTTTTGTTATTCTCTTTATTTGGTTTTGGTTTTAGGGCTAGACCCAGTGATTCTCAGGGTTCTTCCTGGATCTGTCCCCAGGAATTACTCTGGAAGGTGCTTGGGGGGCCACATGGAACAAAGGGGATCAAACCTGGTCCAGCTGTGTGCAAGACCCTACAACAATACTATGTGTAAGTCCCTGTTGGTTTAATTTTTTTGCTTGTGCCACTTTGGGTATACTCCTGGCTCTGTACTCAGGGAATGCACCTGGTAGGTGCATGTGAAGCCACATGACGTGCAGGGAATGAACCTGATTAACCCCATGGAAGGGAGGAACCTTCCCCCTCTACTGCCTCTGCATCTCTAATTATGGGGACCTATCCTGGCAAATGGGGACCAATCCTGAGATGCTATGAGTATCAATAGACAGACAGACTGAAGAGAGAAAGGGTGTTGCTCAGGGGACTAAGTCCTTAGTGGACTCCAAATGTCCAACACATTGAGAATTCTTGCTTAGAGCCAGGAATCATCAGGAGATGACATTCTTAGGTCAATTTTCAAGCTTTGTCTATCTGGGCTTAGCTCTTACACATCTAAGTGTCTAAAGTAGCACTACACTGTAGCACCGTCCTCCCATTGTTCATCGATTTGCTCGAGTGGGCCCAGTAATGTCTCCATCATGAGACTTGTTGTTACTGTGTTTGGCATATTGCGGGGGTCCCGCCAGACCACTCTCCAGTCGGAGGAGGTGGCCCTAGGATCCGTAGGTGCAAGGAGGGACCAACCGAGTGAAGACACAAGACACAAGAGACAGAGTACAGTTTAGAAACAGAGATAAAGGGACAGGACAGGACAGCAGACAGGACAGGACTTTATTCAGGGCAGCAGGGATATTATATACTTTGCGACGCAGGAAACTATATTTACATCACAGAAGGCAATTACATCACTAGGTCATATCATATATTGTTAGGAGAGTTACAAAAACTGCATGTTTCACATGCTTGATTAGTCAGTGTCAGTTACTTCTTATTTTTGGGCTAGCTGTGACAAATGTTTTCTTTTAGATAACCATACATAGCTCATAGGCTGCGGTCAGAGCAGACACAGTACCAGATTTGCGCTAGTCAGGACCCGCTTGTCCAGGGTCACGTAGGCCAAGATAACCATACATAGCACAGGCATGTAGGCCCTTGGTCAGTTAAAGGTCAGCTTCCCACAGCATATTGAATACGTCACAGGTAGCTTGCCAGGCTTTGCCGTGTGGGCAAGATACTCTCAGTAGCTTGCTGGGCTCTCCGAGAGGGGCGGAGGAATCAAACCCGGCTTGGTCGGGACGGCTGCGTGCAAGGCAAACAACCTACCACCGTGCTATCACTCCGAGTCCCTAAAGTAATTGGGACAAATACCTTTAATCCCAGAAGTGTTTCCTCTGAGATAAAGTACAAAAATAGCCAATAGCCAACAGACGGGCTTGCTTCAGTGGAATTCAAGACATGAGGGCCCTGTTATCCGCCCATTCTGCCTTACTCCTGATTCTGTCTTAACACTTGGTTCCCAAAACATTGACAACTGTGAGTGACTCAGTGGATTCCTTTTGTCTAGATAGTGGGACCAACTCTTAAAATGTATTTTGAGTAGTAGTAGCACTGTCCTCCCATTGTTCATCAATTTTGATTGAGCTGGCACCAGTATCTTCTCCATTGTGAGACTTGTAATTGTTTTTGGCAAATTGAATACGCCACGAGTAGCATACCAGGGTCTGCCATGCAGGCAGGATACTTTCGATAACTTACTAAGCTCTCTGAGAGGGACAGAGGAATCAAACCCGGGTGGGTTGCATGCAAGGCAAATGCCCAACCCGCTGTGATATTGCTCCAGCCCCAGTAAAATGTCACGCACCAGGGAGTCGAGTATTTTGACACTGTAAAAATCATTTAAAAATGTTATATGTCCTATTATCTCAATAAATAGAAGTAATATTCTACACATCATAGGATTCATATTAAAATAAGCGTTAAAGTATATCAATTAAATTGTTTGTTATGTAACAATTGCATACTGGAGTAGCAGAGTTTCTGAATCTGGTCACAGGCACCCCCAGAACCCCTCACCTGCTCTGGAGTCCTCCCTTTTCTCCACCAGTTCAAAGAGATCTTTTTATAGAGAAGGAGGATATGCAAATAAGACTCTCCACAGTGATGAAAACAGCCCAGCCCAGCCTCAGCTCCAGGAGAGGAGTCAGTTCAGGGGTTCCTAGGGGCTCCATCCTGACTCACACAGAACCAACATGGCTTGTGGGCTCAGCTGGCTTCTCCTGGTGGCTGTGATAGGAGGTAACTCATGGGTGACAGAGACATGGAGCATGGGAGAGATGGGAGAGGCAGATCCTTTGTGTGAGGAGAGTTTCCTGACCAGGATGTCTTTGTGTTTGCAGGGGTCCAGTGTGAGGTGCAGCTGGTGGAGTCTGGGGGAGCCTTGGTGAAGCCCGGGGGGTCTCTGACACTCTCCTGTGCAGCCTCTGGATTCAATTTTGGCAACTATTGGATGTACTGGGTCCGCCAGGCTCCAGGGAAGGGCCTAGAGTGGGTCTCACGCATTAAGCATGATAGTAGTATTACATACTATGCGGACTCTGTGAAGGGCCGATTCACCATCTCCAGAGACAACAGCAAGAACACGCTCTCTCTGCAAATGAACCAACTGAAGGAGGAGGACACGGCCCTTTACTACTGTGCGAGAGACACAGTGAGGGGAAGGCCCTGTGGGCCCTGACATAAACCACCTGCAGGAGGAAGCAGGGTGAGTTTCAGGGGTGCAAGCCCCCAGGAGGCTATCAGGACTCACCCCTGAGGAAACGTTGCTCATGACCAGATGAATCATCTTTCTGTGGAGATCAGGCTTGACCTGCCCCTCAGTTCTCAGATGACCCCATGAGTTCCTTGTCCTGCGGTTTGTGGCTCTGAGTCCTCCATCCTCACTGTGGACGAGAAGCAGTTTGTCTCACTCTCTGTCTCATGAAGGTAGTTTTACTAATGGTACCATGACTTCCCTGGGGCCTGAGGGTCACATTATTCTCTTGTAGAAATTAAAATCATCCTTTAGAGATTATCTTGGTCTCCTGGTGGGAGTCTTCATCAGAAAGAGAAATCCTGGCATTCACTCAGCTGTGTGGTGTCTCCTTCCTTCTGCTCTTAGACACACACTCTGTGCCCACTGATCTCTACCCTCAAACCTACAGCCAGGTAGCCTCCACCTGGTCACCCTACACCTGGGAGTCCTGCTCTCTGGGATGGGCTGACCTCTAGTCCTTCATCCACTCACTAAATGGACATTCAGGTTTTCCCATTTCCTCTCCACCCCTCTAACTTATAGAGGAGAAAGCAGGTCTTGTGCATTGGCAGTACAAGAGGGAGGACCCTGAGCCTGATGCCCTCCCTGAGCCCTCACTCTCCTGGTACCCCAATATACACCACATCCCAGTGCTCAGGGACGCTCCTTGCACTGAAACCCTATACTGATACCATTGCAGATGTAACTCTTAACGAATTTCTCATTGTGTATCAACCTCAATATCCTGTCTGCCCTCTGGAGACAGCGAAACCTGGGAGTAAGAATCTATATTCCTCCCTCCCCTCACATGGTGACCCCACTGAAGCAGCTCTCCTGTTCTGGAGACCTTCCACAATCTCCTCTTTAAAACCACAAGTGCACCATTAGTTCTTCACTTATGGAACTCAAAGAGTTTTAAAGGTTCAATATCAATATCACTGTAGTACTGTTCTCCCATTGTATATCGAGTTGCTCGAACAGGCACCAGTAACATCTCCATTGTGAGACTTGTTGTTACTGTTTTTGGTATATCAAATATGCCATGGGGAGCTTGCCAGACTCTGCCGTGGGGGCGGAATACTCTCGGTAGCTTGCCGGGCTCCCCAAGAGGGATGGAGGAATCGACACTGAGTTGGCCATGTGGAATGCAAACGCCCTACCTGCTGTACTATTGCTCCAGCGCAAAGCAAGATGGAAGAGGGAATAAAAATTCATAATAATAATAATAATGACAATGATAATAATAGTAAAATAAATAGATTCACTGGTGAACTATAACAAGCAATTTAAAAAAGCCAGTGCTACATGGAAAGTATCATTTTAAGTGAAATGACACAGAAAGAGAGGGATAGACATAGAAAGGTTGCATTCATCTGGGGAACATAAAGTAACAAAATAGGAGACTAACACTCAAGAATGGCCGAGATTAGTACAAGGAATTTTGCTCCATGGTTTGTAGGCCAGCCACACATGCTAGGGGGAAAGGCAGCTCAGAGAGAGAAGGAAGCACCAAATGAAGGGTGTTGGGAGGATCCTCCCAGGATGGGAGAAGCATGCTGAAAGTAGACTATAGACCAAACATGATTGCCTCTCATTGTCTCTGTTGAAAACCACAACACTCAATAGGAGAGAGAGAACAAAAGGGAATGCCCTGCTACAGAGACAGGGTGGGATGGGGAGGATGGGGGGGGGGGGTGGGAGGGATACTGAGATCCTTGGTGGTGGGAAATGGGCACTGGTGGAGGTATGGGTATTTGATCATTGTATAATTGAAACCCAAGCACAAAATTTGTAAGTCTACAACTTTACCTCATTGTGTCTCACTAATAAAAATGTAAAAAAATAAAGCCAGTTCTTAAAGAAAAAAAAGAAGAAAAGGCCAATAATACACAAACTTTTCCAGAAAATAAAGGACAAAGCATTTCCAAACTAAATACATGAAATCTGATTAATCCAGAAGAAAAGAAAAAACTCAGTCTAGTGGTTAGGATTCGGTGCTCTCAATATCAATAATAAAGAGTAATGATGAAGGTATATTTTTATTAGAAATTACACTATCAGTCATGATTGAAAATGGCTTATTTAGAATAAAACTGATAGATGCATAATCATTATAAAGAACTGTACTATTCAAATATCGACAATCTGTGTTTCCTTTAGATTTGGGGTCACAAATGGTTGTACCCTGCATTTACTTCCTGTCGGTGTGCTGGCTCCCTTGTAGTGCTTAGGGATCAGGCTACTGGTGAAAGAAAACAAACTTGTGCAAAGACGCTCCAATTCCATTGATCCTGCCCAAGCTGTTGTGAAAAAGAAAAACTTTTTATCATACCAGGACTTTTTAACAACGATAAAATATGAAATGAATATTCTAGGTTTTCTTTCCTTTCTAAACTGGTTTTTTCACTGTTTCTGATACATTGCTAAATATAAACCAAAATATTTTAATTATTCCACACTTGATGAAGTGAAACAGCCACAAGTTGAGTCAAGAATGTTAGGGAAAAGAGATATATCTCATTTAATAAGATTAAAGTAAAACACAAATTGTTAATCTACAATTAATATTGGTGTGTGAAAGCAGCTTTCATAAGTTTAAGAAAATGTCTGTTGCTCTTGGTGCAGCAGGTTTAGGAAATATTCCCAACATTCCCCAGGCACTCCAGCATCCTTCCCGCAGTCTGGGGGCCCAGCTCCCCTGGAAACTGCTGACTGTGGAGATACAGAGACAGCGCAGGTGGGTCATGTCTGTGAGGATTCACTGTCCTGGCCCTGCAGGAGCTCTGGTACAGGACAACTGGGGACAGACACAGTGAGTCACATGCTTAAACACGAGATTGGTTATGAATCCTATAGCCACGGGTACGTGAGGTTTGACATCCTCCATCCCAATCCTCACGTTGCCTGAGTTGGTGTTTGTGTGTCTCTGTGTCTAACCTAGCAGAATCTTGTAGCCCCTGCTGAGTGTGGAAGATTACTTTTGATCCTTAATATTGACTTTTTAAACATCAAATTTTAGAGCAATTTTCTGAACCTTTAGATTGAACTCAACCCTTGGGTGCTTCAAGGAATTGGAGGGTACACGTATGTGACACAGCCTGTGTCTAGGTTTCATGCATTTGGCAGTGGGGTGGAGGGTCATGCCTGGTGCTGTTCAGGGCCAGCACACTTGTGCTCTTGTGAAATATGTGAGTCTCAGCACTAAGACCAGATTCCAGGCCCAATATTTTTCAGCTGAGGACTCTGCACAAACTCTTTTCAGGCATCTGATGGGATTGGGATTCCACAGTGATGACCCCAATAACAGGGTCCTGAGGTTCACAGTCATCTTCTGGGTGCTGAGTTACAGGACAGAGCGGGATAAGTTCCTCCTGGCCTGGCCAACCAAACCAGGAAGGTCACTAGGTGAGGCAACTTCTTTGTCCCTAAATAGACTTAGCACCAGTAAAAAGAACAAATCCAGCCTAGTAAGCGCATTGAATAGAAAGGAGTAAAGCTGCTCAACAAAAAGGATTTTCGCCCAAGGTTAGCGAGTGAATAAATGGTGTGAAATATGATTGACATGGATTGGACCAGACAAGTAAGAATTCAATGAGACAATGACGCTGTCTGTTATGCTGACGAATTTTCATTCACAGTGGGAGAACAGGAGCCAACACCCAGGGACACAAATGGGCAGGGGTCTGTCTACAGGGTAGAGGCCCTGGGGGCTCTGGGTTTGGTCATCAGGAACCAGAGACACAGGGACTCTCTTCCCCAGCTGCCGTTTCCCCCTCAGCAAATCCTGTTTCCTGAGAGCTCCTCAGCACGTTTCCTGTGCTGGAGGAAGAGACCCGGCTCTGACAGGGCCCCAGGGACAGGTCTGAGTGCTCTGAGCCATAGTCAGCACCTCCTCCCAAGGGAGCCCACACAACAGCCTCCCTCGGTTCCCCTCCTTTCTCTACAGAGGCCCCCCCATGCAAATCTGCATTTGGGACCCAGGATTAAAACCATATTCACACTCACCCCAACTCCGGCTCCCTTTCCCCAGACTCAGTGTCTGAGATGATGGACCTCGTGGGCAGGAACGTGCATCAGAGCTGGTTCCTCCTCTTTCTGGTGGCAGCTCCCAGATGTGAGTGTTCCCTGGACAGAGGCTCCAAGTTGTGCATGGAGCTCCTAGCCCGTGACTCACTGTGGGTCTTTGTCCCCAGGTGTCCTATTGCAGGTATGGCTGCTGGGGTCAGGACCAGGTCAGGTAACACCCTCGTAAATGCTGTCCTTTAACTGATCCATCTCTGGATTCTCTCTAACCGACTATGATGGGCACTGGGTCAGCCAGGCACCTGGAAAGGGGCTTCATTGGATTTATGTTATGTACACTGGTGGGGGAACAAACAAACAAACTCTTGAGTCCCGAGTCAGCATCGCCAGGGACACCTCCAAAAACCAAGTTTACCTGAAACTGAGCAACTCAGTAACTGAGGACACAGCCGTGTATTATTGTGCAAGACACAGTGAGGGCAAGTCCCTGAGAGCCCAGACACAAACCTGCTAAGGGAGACCGAAGAGTTGCAGGGGTGCTTGTAACCACCAGTCCTGCTCCCAGGAATCCAGGGCTTCGCTCCAGGAGCAAGGGGGTGAGGGAATGTCAGGGGGTCGCTTTATTTTCTCCTTTAGTGAAATATAAAAGAGAAATTTAATAAACCAAATATAAACATTTTATTAGTACATTTTATTCTAGTACAAATTTGTTTACTCCTCTTCATACCACACGCTTCACTAGAGACTTATTTCCAGTTAGGTAAGGTGTGGTTAATTTTCCTTCCTATAACGATCATTTGCTTCACAGAAGGAGGCTTTTCACAATTACCCATTTTATTGTCATTGAGGAATTGGATTGACAACAGTCAGAGAGTAGATGCTTGTGGGTGACAAGCTCCCTGCGCTTCTCCCAGCACCAA